GCTTGGATTCTAAAGCTCTTCAGCCCTTTCTGTCTTCCATGGGATGGACGGACCGCTACTAGATGCTTGCAGGGATGCTACTGTTTGGTATCTTTCACAAGTACGCTACTTAAGTAACTAAGCGGAGCCAGTTTAGTGCTGAAGATTGTGTAGGGCCTTTGCTCTCAGGTTACCAGATATTACTGAGTAAAATGAAAGATGAAATTTATCCACAGAACAATCTGAGTAGCAATTAAGTACATTTTTCTAATTTCTCTGGTAAGTTGGTTAATTATTAAAGGCTATGTATATATTAAATAAAAATGAATACCAAGAATATGCAGTTCTATGCAAATATCACAGATAGTATTTTAATATTTCTATAAACCATGAAGAAATAAAGCAAAGAATATTCCATAATAAATAATATTTCAGAACATAAGTCAAAGTATAAAAAAATCAATATGACACATAATACTGATTATCAAGTTAAAATATTTGTAGTGTGGTTCACATGACTTGATGTCTACAGATGGGTCTTTTATTCTGACTAACTGGTATTTTCACATATTTAATACTACAGAATTAAATAGTAATATTTTAAATGCCTGAATTCAAGTTGCTCTTGAAATCAGTACAACACTGGATGTTTCTCTGCTGGCACACATGATCATATGTCTACCCAGTACAATATATACTCTATAAAAGATGTTGACTCTTAAGGCTTTTGCTCCGGCTCTTCTGCACTAAATTATACCTAAATCAATCCAAGAGAGTCAATAGAGAAATAGCACAGTGGTGCTGAATGTCAAATCATATCACATAATTTAAATAAAATCCTCTTATAGCTTTAAAACTGGTTTAGCAGTCTCTGGTTGAATATAAAAGATGTAAGATATGCATTTACACTGCTTCCTCATCACATCTGACTAAATAAACCACAAAGAAAGGACAGTAAAAACCCCCAAAGACAAAGAATAGGAAAAGAAGTAACAGTAGAAAAGGTATTTCAACAAAATTTGGATGACACTAGGTGGATAGACAAGCCATAATTGATTGAGGTTTCAGCTTTCTTCGCGATGCTGGGTCTACAACAGGAGGGACCCAGCAGAAACACTATTCATTCAGAACACACCCTGAAAGTCAGGAGTTGGAGGTAGCGGGTACCTCTGAAGGCAGGGCTGCAGCATGGATGAACACAGAATGACTGGCTGAATGTCTATATGAGTAGTAAGTAATTAGACTTCCCAGATCTTTTGTTTTGCCTAATCAAATACTTTAGGAGATGGTCCTTCTCCAGCTCTGGCAGAAACCAGCAGAATTAATGTTAAACCAGAGAAGATTGAGCTTGGGAGTACTAGATAAAACTCAGGGTGAAAAGGAAGAGCTGAAAACAAGAGGGCAGAGGGAAGGGATTAGTACACAAACTGACTCACATTTAAATTACTGCCTGCATGCTGAGTGCTGAGTCTCTGAGTCTTCTTCCCCAATCAGCTTCTACAACACAGGCTGTCAGGCTTATACCCCACTGATGAGAAAAGAAACAATTTTTCTGTGGAGAAAATGACAGGCTCAACAACCTGCAGACACTGACATTTAGAGGTGCCTTCAAGGATGCTGCCAAGTATATACTCATCATCCAGTAAAAGGCCTGCTAATCAATAAGCTCCAGTCACTTGCACAAAATTTCCAGTTTTTTCACATCACATTCTTGAATATAAACAGATACTTAAAAATCATGAGAAATTTGAGTACAATCTTTAACATGACTGTGATTAAAGCAAAAATGGGGAGAGGGGGACTCAAAATAAACACTACAAGGTTTAAATTAAAACTGAAAAGATATTAATATCCTTAGAAGTAAAAAGTGTATACATCCATGACACATAAATACTATAAAAATGGAATATTCAGATAAAATTTTAAAAATTAAAACATAACAGTTGATATAAAAATTACAACAGAAGGATCAAAAGAGAAAATTAAGAGAAAAAAGAATATAGATAAAATAAATGGTAAAGGGGAGATAAAAAAACTAAAAACTCATTCAAAGAAATCAAACATCTCACTAACAAAAGTTTCTGAAAAAGAGAGACAACAGAATCTCACCAAAGAGACAATATAAACCTATGGATAAAATAGATTCAGCACATATGCTTACTTTTGTTCTCTCCCCAGTTGATACCTGAATGACTGTAAAAGAATGATTCTAAGTAAATAAATACAATGAATGAAAGAAAAAGAGCAATACAATTGTGCAGGCTAGAAGGCAGGTAAATAAGCAGTAATTGACTAGACAGACTGAGGAAGCTTAATCAGAAAGCCAAGTGCAATCTGATTTTATCGCAGAATTCCAAAAGGAATAAAGAACTGGTCAGATTGGAGTAAAAGTGTGAGAGTGTGTGTCAGTGGTGGTATTAGGGAAAAAAGCACTACTAAGTTTTTTTAAAGTAAACACCTAAAACTTTCCCCACATGAAAGATTTCATGCTTTGGAGATGGGGAGAAGGAGCATCTCTGGCCTTTCCAGACGATTGAACAACCTGCCTCGTCATGTGCTCAGAGCTTCCAGTCTTTGAGTGCCTCACACTTTTATATGGACAGGCAAATACCACCAGCTCTCCCTAGGAAAGTCTTTAACATGAGACACAGCAACCAAACCAAACAAAAACTTAGAGGAAAAGGACGCGGCATAAAGAAAACCTTTACAGAATTTATCGGTATCTCAAATACATGCTAAACAGGGTAATCATAAAACAAGTAGGATTCCATTAAGGTAAGAGGAGAAAAGACAGAAATAAGAGCTCTTAAAAATTAAAAATTAGCAGAAGTTAAAAACTCAACTAAAGGATTGGGGAAGGTTGAGAAAACCCCTCAGAAATGTTAAAGAATATAAAATATAAACATAAACATACAACAAAATGAGAGTCTTAGAGAACTAGTCAGGGAAATCCAATGTCTAAAAAAATAAACATTCCAGAAACAGAGAAAATGAAAAGGAAATAACAAATAAAATAATTCAAAAAATATTTTTAGAAGTTAAGACCATGAGTTTCCAGACTGGTGAAGTCCCAGCACAATAAATGAAAACAGATCCTCAACAAGGCACATAATAATACACTTCAGCACATTGGGTGGCTAAAGGGAAGATGGTAAAAGATTCAAAGGAAAAAATACAGAATATACAAAAAAAATCCAGAAATCATGTTATCAAACTAGAGTTTTTAAAGAATGAGAACAAAATTTCAAGGACAATAAAATAATACCTTTCAAATTAACAGAATTTTAAACCTGGAATTCCATTCTTAATCAAAGGATCAATTAATACTCAAGTAGTACAAACATGTTTTCAAGCATGCAAAGTCACAAAAAATGCATTTCCCATTCAACCACTGCAAGTAACAGGGGGCATATGCTCCACTAAAATGAGAAAATAAACCAAATTAAGAGTCAGATACAAAATATATATATATATAAAAGAGCACCAATTCAAGAGATGCAAAAAAGGATATCTAAGAAGTAATCAGTGCTTCCTGAGGAATAGCTGTGTATTAATTGGGAAGGTTAACCGACACAGATTAGCCAGAAGAACTGTCTCCAGGAAGATGAAACTGACATACTACCTGATGCCTTTGAACACACTGAGCAATTTATATACCAAGAATTTGAGGCTGAATTAATGGTATGTACAAATGCAATAACAATGAAAATAAAAAATTAAGACTAGTATTTACCTGTGAATCTAACAGATTCTAAACACTAAATATTCTTATAAATGACATTACTGTACTTGGAAGATGAGACGGATGAGAAATGATCAATGGTAAGTGACAACCCAGGAGCATGTGCAATGTCCTTGTTTCCAGAAGAAATGACAATAGTTAAAGCCTAAAACTGAAACCAGGCAGTTGTCTTGTATGCATATGGAAATACAGACGCGAACATCGAAGAGAAAGAGGAGAAGCTGCCTCTGCAGAGGTGGAAATAGAGAAGAGAATGTTTAATTTGAATAAAAATAATAAAAAAGAAACTGAAGTTATTACCCAGTAGTAAAGAAAATGAATTCCATTTTTAAAAACTAAACCTAGAACTTAGTACAATTAATGATGAAACTTCAGAGCACCAACAGGATAAAGAGAAAAGGCTTCTCGAGGGTATGAGAGGGTGATGGTAGCATACGCCAACTGCAAGACAGTCTCCGATCCATCATCTTCAAAACTCCGAGGAAAAACTACTTCTTTCAAACTGTGCTGAGCCAAACTATCAACTGACTGTGGGGCAGGGAATAAAGGTAATTTCAGGCATATAAAATGTTTTCTTTAAAGTATCCCCCTTTCTAAGGACACCATTGAAGAATACACTCTGCTAAAATGGGAGCAGACCAAGAAAGAGGAGATGATGTGATCCAAAAAGAGGCACAGGGAATTCTTAGGAAGACAGTGAAGAAAATCCCAGGGTTAACATACATAGGAAGTTTAGAGAACCGAGGGTTATAAGTGTTGGAATATCCTCTCTAGGAGGTATTTCCATGGGAAAACAAAATAGAAATGTTGTATATGAACTACTGAAGTACAGAAATCTTAAGGATGAGAATAAAAAATTTAGGGAGAAAAATAACACACTATAATGCTTAGCTATAAATATTTTCACATACGTAACTAAAACCAGTTAAGAAGTCTCTTTACTTTCTTGAAATAGAAAAAGAAAGGAGGAGCAATAATATCTAAAATTAAATCTATTATCATACAACATTTAAATGTATGGAAGAAATCCTAATAAAGGTAAAAGTGGCTCAACATGAGACTCAGGAAAGGCAGGCAACGGGCTTCTTCCCTTGCATTTCAGTTTTTAAACTATTATCTCCACTTTGAAACTTTTTCAATTAAATCAACAGGATTTCAAGAAAGAAAAATTCTCTAATGATTTTAAATATTTTTCAAATCAGAAATGAGATTTAATGGTGGTAGGTGCGAAATGGAAACCAAATTCATAAATTAACATTAATAATGTTTTGAAGGATACATTGCAAAAGACAAAACAAGCAGGCACCAGACTAAGCTGATATTCATTTCCTGTGTGGGCTTCATAAAATTGTAGTAGACTTCAGTTACTAGATACACAACTGTAGCAGCCACTGTGAAATCCACCAGCCACTGGTATTCTGGAAAGTAATGCAATGCTGAAAAATAAAGGTTAAAAACAAACTTTACTGAAACTTTCATAAACAGCTTAAAACATTTATCTATAATTAATGATAAACATGCTAAACATTATCCTATTTGGTTATTTGCAATGCAAAGATTACAAATACAAGAATCTAAAAATGCCAAAAGCAGATCAAAAAATGTTGGCACTTAAAACTAAATTCTAATACTACATAAATTAAATAATTAAAATAATCTCAAAATGATCACCAATAATTAAATTGTTGTTGAAGTACATGATTGCAAAATGAGGTGGTATTTTCTTAGCTGACTAGGTATTTTTTACAGAAATTATATATCAAGTTTTTTTTTAAGAGTCTGAGCTGTACTTTAGAAAAGTGATTTTTAGTCTTTTCAATCTCACGGCACTCAAACTAATTACTAAAATTCTGTGGCACACCACATAATATTTGTTTTCCCATTTAACAAAACAAAACAAAAAAAGGATGATTTTGATTTATTGGACCAGATGGCTACTGTTGTATTGGCTGTTGTCAGTTTTTAAAATTTGACAATCGAAGGGAAAAGAGGTCAGTGCCCCAGACTAAGTCAGGTACTGCATATTTAAAAAATTCTTGACATTGGCTGAAAATTGCTGCTGTAGAATACAACCTAATGTAGACAACTACAGCTTTACTTATTGTCATTTCTGTGAAGAATGCTAAATTTGTACAGTTATTTAGTGCCCTAAGGGAAGGTTAGTAATTTTGAGTTACTGTAGATTAAAATAATAAATTAAATAAATCTACTCTTTAATAAATTATCTGCTCCTGTAAGAAAAGCTGATGAAATACCTATCTACTTCCCAAGAAGCCCATACCCTATCAACAAACTATTTCATTCTTAAGGGTTCATTAAATTAGTCTTCTCTGAAAATTAATGATTCCAGCTCTCTTTCCACTTCAGATATTCTGGTTTACTTCTGCTAGAGTGTAGTCCAAAATAGCAACATCATTTTATAGAAGGCTTCCTAAAAATGTGGAAATAAATCACATCATAAACATTAATCTGTATGTCCTCAATGGCACATAATAAAACAATCTATACTGCTTTGGAAAAATTTTAGTTGTAAATATAATACCTGAGGCTACTTTAAAATCACATGAAAAAGTACTTTTAAAATACCACTCAGGGTAAGACTTAAAATATCAAAACAAACTAAGCAAACTTACGTCATCTCTATGCCATGGACAGCAAAAATTACAAATTCTTTTATGACTGAGTAAATTTTTTTTGCTTCAAATTATTTTAATTGCTTTAGGTGTGTGTTGTTTGGCTTCTGAACCATCAGTATGAAAAATTTACCCTAAAGTGGTCGCAGGATTCCTACCCTCTCTCCCCATCTAAAATCACCCAGTTAAGCCTTCTGAATAACTTTCTGGAAGAAGAACAGGGAAATGGATGAAACAACAGATAGGCATCTGTGTATCTAAAGGTTTTCAATTTTATTAACAACAACTGAAGTAGGTGTTCCAATTCTCCATGCCTGCCCTTACTCACAGATTAGCCCCAGGGAACTTAAGAGCAAACTGCCAAGAGACATTCAAATGTTCTTATGTTCTTTAAGAGGAACTTATAATGAATAGCTAAGATAAACTGAGATATACTTTTAAGATATTCAGATATCAATATAAACCTTCAGCAAAAGTACAAATTATACAAATCCTTTGCTATATATATATATATAATCCAAGAATTATATCATTCTTTTTGTATCCAATAATATAATTATATACCTACCCTTTTCATAATATCAAAAGAAACTTAAGAGCTTATCAAGCCTAATAATTTCCTTTAAGCTCCTGAGAGTACCTAAAATTAAGGCAGAAATCCTCTACTTTTACTTAAACACAAATATACACATTCATAAATAAATACATCAATATAAACATAAACAAAACATCTTCCTATTATTCTGCAGAACTGAAATGCTCTTGATATTTTGTGGCCAATTGTTAAAACTAGTACAATTTGTAGTTAGTTATCAAAATTGTACAAGTGAAGCAAAACACTAATTAAGCTGTGTTCTGAAGCCATGTTACCCTACTTCATTTTTTAAGTTCATTCATAGCTTAGTTCTCACTGACTATCTCTACCACGTTTGGTGCATAATCCTGGCCAAGTTATTTAACCTCTATCTAATAAGTTGGATTTAAAAAAAACTTGATAATAGTTTTATATACCTCATAGAATTGTGAGGATGAGTTAATACAAGTAAAGCTCTAACAACAACAGCTAATATGGAATTTTAAGCTATTATTAAAGCTAACTAGCTGATAATTATTCAATAAACATTAGTTATTAAAGTGACAAAAATCTGTACTTAGAAATCAGGGGATATGTATGTGTATTCTTATATTTATATATGTCTGTGAACATTTTATGTAAGTAAGCAAACATAGGATAGTAAAACAAATGTGACAATAAAATAAGTCAAAGTGCTTTTAAATATTTTAAATTTTCCATGAAAACTAGTTAAAAAGAAAAAAAAGGATGACATAACCGGTCTTAATGATAATAGACAATTGACTTAAATTGTTTCTCAATGACACTTTTGGGTTCTAGGACACTCTTGCCCCATACAGACATAAAATCTTTGTAGATGTACAATCAACTTTCAAATATATTGAAGTCACTTTAAATCATGAAACAATTTTATATTATATAGATGCTAAATGAATCTGAAGGTTTTTCTGTGGTGGTATAATTTAACACAAGAAGGGCCAAATTACATAATGTTACTTTATACAACACTACCAAAAATGTCTAAAGTATATTTTATTAATTATGCTATTAGTTTTCCTCTCCTTATTCCCTCCTCTGCCCTGTACCCTCCAACTTCCCCCCTTAGTTCATGTCCATGGATTGTACATATAAGTTCTTTGATTTCTGTTTCCTATACCCTTTTTAACCTCTCCCTATTATATGCCTATCAATTACACTTCTTATTCCCTGTATCTTCCCTGACCATTCTTCCACTCCCACTCCCCACTGAAAACTCTGCATGTGATCTCTATTTCCCTGATTCTGTTCCTGTTCTAGTTGTTTGCTTGTTTGTTTTTTGTTCAGTTTTTGATAGTTGTGAATTTGTTGTCATTTTACTGTTCATAGTTTTTGATCTTCTATTTCTTAGATAAATCCCTTTAACATTTCATATAATAAGGGCTTAGTGATGATGAACTCCTTTAACTTGACCTTATCTGGGAAGAACTTTATCTGCCCTTCCATTCTAAATGATAGCTTTGCTGGATAGAGTAATCTTGGATGTAGGTCCTTGCTTTTCATGACTTCAAATACTTCTTTTCAGCCCTTTCTTGCCTGTAAGGTCTCTTTTGAGAAATAAGCTGATAGTCTAATGGGAACTCCTTTGTAGCTAACTCCCTCCTTTCCTCTTGCTTCTTTTAGGATTACCTCTGTATATTTAGTCTTGGGTAACTTAATGATGATGTGTCTTGGTGTGTTCCTCTTTGGGTCTAACTTCTTTGGGATGCTCTGGGCTTCTTGGACTTCCTGGAATTCTATTTCCTTCACCAAATTGCAGAAGTTTTCCTTCATTATTTGTTCAAGCAAGTTTTCAATTTCTTGGTCTTCTTGTTCTCCCTCTGGCACCCCTATAGTTTGGATATTGGAAAGTTTCAGGTTGTCCCAGAGGTTCCTAAGCCTCTCTTGATTTTTTTTGAATTCTTCATTCTGTTCTGGTTGGATGTTTATTTCTTCCTTTTATTCCAGATCATTGATAGGAGTCCCAGTTTCCTTCCCTTCACTATTGGTTCCCTGTATATTTTGCTTTATGTCACTTTGGGTAACCTTCATTTGTTCCTTCATTTTGCAACCGAGCTCAATCAGTTCTGTCAGCATCTTGATTACCAGTGTTTTGAACTCTGCATTCAGATAGGTTGTCTATCTCCTCGTCTCTTAGCTCTTTTTCTGGAGTTTTACTCTTTTGTTTCATTTGGGCCATATTTCTTTGTCTTAGAGCACCTGTTACATTGTAGGGGTGTGGGGCCTTAGGTATTTACCTGGGTGGGAACACCCTTTTTGCAGTACTGTGACCCTATCTGTGGCGGAGGGGTCAGAGAGGGAACAATATGGCTCACTTCTTCGCTCCAGCCCCACTTTCCAATGAACTCTGTCGTGTAAGACTGGGAGCTTCTCCCACTTAGTTTTCCCATTCGGCCAGCCCTGCCTCCCTGGCACTGTCCGGCACTGCGGGTCCTCTAAGCCATCCCTGCCTCACTGGGTGGTCCACTGCCTTGCTGTAGGGTCCCCTCCACCCACCAGGTTGTCTGTTTTCACCTCTCATACTAATCTAGTGAATGTTTCTTTCACTCCTTGTTTGTCGAAGCTCTATACAGTTTGATTTTATGGCACCTCTGGTTGTTTACTGTTTTTAGATTGGTTGTTATCTTCCTTTAGGTTGTGCAAGCAAGCGAATGGTTTCTATCTATGCCTCCATCTTGGCCAGAACTTCAACTTTGTATATTCAAAATTATTTTTAAAAAAAAACCACACATACTCATTATTTTAACTCCTCACATAATGTAAACCATCAGTTCTCAAACCTGCTCAAAAACCAGAACCACTTTCAACATTAAAAAAAAAGTCTGGAACCCACTTAATATTTACTGAATCTCCAATGGTAAGTTTGAGAATGATTTATTTTTATAGAGTCACTGAAGTGATTCTGTTTGAAAACCAGTGTTTTAAAAATATCTAAAAATATATCTAAAATATATCTAAAAAATATCTAAAATATCTAAAAATATATTAGATATCTTTCTCTTCTAAGATTGAAATAATTTCATTTTAAATTTAAAACCATTATAGTTATTATGTAAATCGGTATATTATTCTACAACCACTTTCTCTTCTACTAAATGTGAACATAAATGGAAATCATTGTAAATATAGGTAAGTCAATACAAATAAACAAGTGTGTTTCTGCAAGCCACATTATAAAAGAAACAGACTGGGGTAGATGGCAAAAAGTCTAGAATTGAAAATAATGAAAACTGAATCTGATCTCAGCCTAAACAGAAACTGTGTAACAAACTTGTATAAATTAGCCTCTGCTGAAAAATAGAAAAAATAATGCTGACTATAAGTTATGTGAACAGAAAGAGAAATACAATTCAAGAAGTCATTCTGAGCCTCAAAGCTCTGACAGAGATTTCACATTCTACATAATGAACTTACGATTAGAAAAACAATCAGAAAGTCCAGCCACAACAGATAAAATGAAAGTTCTTTCACTGTCATAATGTAAAGCTGAGATTTACAGAAGGCTTCACCAAGATTTCCCTTACCAAAAGTATCCACTTCGGTAACTGACTTTGTTTCTAGATGGAGGTCAATGTCCTTTGGAATGGTTAGTGGCTTACTTTCAATGTGACCATTATATTTCCTATAAAAATGAGACAAGTGACACAAAAAACAATTTATCTACACTGTTATCCAGGTGCTTGTATCAAACTAATTACAAATGAGATTATAAATTTCACAGTGGAAAAAAAAAGCAGAATTTCTAAGATTTCATCAAAAAGAAGGTAAGGTACGCAAAAGTAGTTTTTAAAAGGGGGACTACAAAATGTGGATGTAAATTATTATGGGATTACCAGGAAAAGATCTACGTACATTAGTGACAGGAATAAAATCTTAATTGCTAGCTTAGCATTTCACTCATTTCTCCTACTGTCTCTTCTGTAGATTCAAAGACAGCCTAACACCTCTTCGTTTGAGAACAAGAGTAAAAGCAAATGGAGAAAAAACACATTTCTCTTTGAAATTACACAAGTACACACATACATACATTAACAGATATGTAGCTATAAATAAGTCAGAGTTCAAGAACTAAATTAGGATTTATGTGCAGAAGAAATGGAGAAACAAGCAAACACGAACGAAGGTAAACAGAATTCTTCAAGTGCACGCATGTGTGTCATTCCCAAATTTACTAATTTTTAAAGACAAACATATTTGGAAAGTAATAAACTAAGTTTCAATAACATTAATTACAATTCCAAAAAACAATTTTGCATTTATTCTTGAATAAACTTGGAAAGCCTCAGTAAAAATATGAATTCATGTCAATAAATCAGAAAATTATTGTTACCAGGAACAAAACTGTCAGAGCATCTTTTCATAAATGCAAAGCATTTTCAACATGTAAAAATTACTATAAAAGTAAAAAAATTACTGACCACAAAGCATACGATAAAAATGAAATGTTTCTAGAATAAATACTGTGTTACGTAACTAAATGTTGAACATGGCAGCTGTGTCAGGGCAGAGGCAGAACAGCTAAAAAGAAATGTAGAAACTAAACACTAACCTGGATTAAAATCCTGACTGTTAATAGTTATGTGAACGTGCTCAAATCATTTAACATCACTGATCAACAACTTCCTCATTAGTAAAGTGTGTTATTAAAATAATAGCCAATATTCAGAGATGTGTAGACTAAATGAAACTGTTTAAAAGTGCTTTGGGAATTATAATATTAAGCAGGAATAGTTTTATAAAGAAGATAACTACTGCAATTCAGAGAAAGGGGGTTTACTGCAAGATCTGTAATTATAACTGAAAGAAAGAATGACAGTGAGATCGGAAGTCCCCCCCACCCCCAACTGAGGAATCTAAAACTAAGGCCAGTGTTCAGAAATGCTAATTAACAAGCACTTTCCTTGAGAATTCAATTTAAATGTAGGTATAAAAATTTTAAGCTGTAAAGATCTTTCAAAATTAGTTCAGTCCTTCCACTTCACAAATGAGACTGCTGTGGTCCACTCAGCGAGGTTCAGTTAAGTTTTCTTCATAAACTTTAAACATCAAAATGATATTCAGCAGCTCAATGGGACATAAAAAGTTAAACTGTCTACCACTTTTACTTAAAAAATGGGGAGACAGAGGTCAAAAGCAGATGAATTTTCCTAATATTAAAATAATGAGTCACAGCAAAATGTAGGAAAAAGAACCCAAGCCAAGTGGTATCTTTAAATGAATTGTAGGGTGAAAACAGATTATTAGCCTCCCCTGATCAACTCCCCTCACCCTGAATTTTAATATGAGGCTCTTTGTTTTCATTATCGAAACACAGGGAAGACTATGGTTGACTATTCTTAAGTAAATAATTACTTTTGTGCTTATACATTAGATTACTACATACAGGGTTTTCCTAAAGGGTGATTCAATATCATTTTAGAGCATTGGTTTTGATCTCAAATTTATCAACTGTTTATGGGGTAATCAGTAAATGTTCCTTTAAGCAAAGTACAAAACTCCGCTCACATAAATTGTGTCAAATGTTTAACACTACAAAGTCAACAACATAACTTACCTATCTCTTTTGCTTTTCCCTTTTTGCTGCTTCCCTGCAAGAATTCTTAATTCTTCTTCTGTGGGATGTTGATACCATCTTAAACTAAGAAAAGAGAAATCCTTTTAAATAAAACAATTAAAATCATTAGAATTATTCATTTATTCTACAACCACTTATTGAGTTTCCTATTTGTGGAAACACGGCTGGGAAAAGTCAGGTGAAAATTTTAATCTGAAACAGATACTACTGCATGAGCCTTAAAAGGATTTATTTGGATTCAAATCCAACATACACCAAGAACTTAGTAAATAGATGCCAGGTCCTGAAACGCTGTTTGTAGGTACACTTCTTACAACTAACAGTGTATTAATATATATGAAGATGACACAGGCTTACTATTAAAAGTAAGTGGAGTAAACAACAGGAAAGCTGGCAGTTGCACATCAAAATTCTCCACCATCCCTTCATTTATACAAATAATATGTGTCTTAAAAAATAGTCCTTTGAACGCCCCCCAAAATACAAGGAGCCTTCTTCACTTTGCTTTCCTTACTTTATTCCCTTTAATTTAGTTGGGAGAATTCTCAAATTTTATGTGTATAAGAAGTAGAGTATATCGTTGTGGACGAAAAACCCCTTTATTCTTATCTATATGTAACCCTCTTCAGTTACGGCTCCCAGACAACTGGGTATCTTCACCTCTGCCACCCAGTGAAAACGTCCGAGCACATCGTTTACTCCCTCCCAAGCACCCACGTGCTCCGTCTCAATCTTCTGTCTCACCTAAATCTACCAGCCAGCCACCTAAATCTGAGATTCAGGTTTTATCTTTAACTTACCCTTTCCACATGTTATCATTAATCCTGTTCTTTAACTCTTAAAATTGTAAACTTGTCAGCTCCCCTAAAAGAACCTTAGTTCAGACCTTCACCTAACCCATCCTCCCTTCCAGCTCTCTCTATGGTAAAACTCTCTAGATGCTCTCCTTGCCTTCCCTCTGGACAGTATCCTATGTACATTCTGATCCCACCTTTAGTTATTTTTCCATAATGCAAATCTTACTAAGATAGATGCCTGTTTAAATCTTTTCCAATACTCCTCTCACAGGGAAAGCAGTGAGTAGGGCAGCTAGGCAAGGACTCTGATCAAGGTCCTATTGTCATAAAGGAGAAACATGTACTTAGTATTGCTACACTCTGCAATTTTTCAATTACAAAAATCTAGATTCTTAAAGTGAAATATGCCAATTAAAATATTAGCAACTGATTCACTATTTTTCAAAACACTAGAGAACTGACAATATGAGTAATGACTGGAAATTTCATGTTAACATGTTTTAGCTGTAATAATTACAATTTTTTAAAAGCTCATATATTTTAGAGATATACACTGAAATATCTCTGAATGAAATAATATTTGCTTCAAATATATTGGAGGGTGGAAGAAAGATGAAGGAGAATACAGATGAGACAAATCGGCCCTGGCTGGTGTGGATCAGTGGAATGAGTGCCAGCCTGCAAACCAAAGGGTTGCTGGTTCGATTCCCAATCAGGGCACATGCCTGGGTTGCAGGCCAGGTCCCCAGTGGGGGACCTGCAAGAGGCAACCATACACTGATGCTTCTCTCCTTCCCTTCCCCTCTCTCTAAAAATAAAAAAAATACATTTTTAAAAAAGAAATCGACAACCAGCTGTTAATTATTACAAGTGCATATGAGCTCATGATATGAATTATATATGCACTATATTATTCCATCTACTCTTTATATGGGTTTGAAAGTTTCCATTAAAGTAAAAATACATAAGGCCCAAGTGCATATATGGTTTGTGGTCTCCTGTCTCCACGGTATTTCATGATTCTACTACTGTCTACTTCACCAGACCCATCTTCAACAATTTCCCTTTTGAACATGACATTTTGCCTAGGCTACATGACATTTTATTTCACAACTGTTTCATTACTGGGTGATCTGGCATATATTCTCCTCTCTGCTTATAAACATCTACATCCGTGTGTGGCAAATTCTACATTTACCTTTTAGTTATAAGGCAGTTTCCCTGAGCTTTCATAAAAACTATACCTGGCCACTCTTTTCAGTTCTTAGAAGAACTGAAGACCTGGGAATGCCCTGAGTAATAGGGGATTGTCTTTGTTATGCTAATGAGGGGATTCCCTGAGTAATGAGGGGATGCGAGGTAAGCCCACAGACAGCTTCAGGGTGGAGCCTGATCACAGGCACCCTCTGAGCAACCATGTGAAGGAGAAAGAGCCAAAGATTAAGTTCAATCTTATGGTCAATGATACCAACAGGACCAATCATACCTCTGTAATGAAATGTCACAAAATCTCTGGACACTGAAGCTCCTGAGCTTCCTGGTGGGCCAACAAATGATGGGCCTGGAGGGTGAGATACCCTGACTTCACAGAGGGAGACCATGAAAACTCTGTGCTCCTTCCGAAATCTCATCCTATGTGCCATCTTTTAATAAAACTGTAATCATAATACTTTGCTAAACTCCAGTTATGTTAGCAAACTACTAAGTCTGAGGGGGCTGTGAAAATGCACTAATGTGTAGCTAGCAGCCAGTTACCCAAGAATGGGTAGCCTGTATATCCCAAGAACTCACGGCTGGCATCTGAAGCTTGGGCATTCTTATGGAGGACTTTGTCCTAGATCTGTGAGGTCCGTGTTAACTGCAGGCAGTTAGTGTCAAAATTTAATTGTAGTTGATATCAGACCTGTTGGGTTAAAATGGAATATTCCACTAACTGAAAAATTCTTGGAGTAAAGATTTTATGTATATATTTTTTGTTTTTGTATATTTCCAAACTAGTATAGTTATTGGCAGATAGTAAGTAATCCAAACGAATCATGTTGTCGCCTGTGCATTCATTCTCATCAGCCCAATGGGCAGACTCTGCTGGCTCAGGGTCGGCCACAAGTACCTAGGAGACATTCACTGAAAATTTCGAGAGGGTAACTGTATATTAGAGTCTACAACTCAGAGAGAACCTGAGGCCATTACATAATAGTGGTTTTTAAATTTTACGAATAATATCACCCATGGAGAAAATAAAACATGGTAGAAAGCTAAACAGTTATTAATAAGGAAGTGAGAGAGTAGAGTTTATGAAGATAATACATGGAACTAATTTAGCTATAAAGGAAATGGAAGAAGTAGACCAAAAATTAAGGAATGGATATGAGAGGGGCTTTTTATAAGGAGGAAGGGAGGGGATTGTGGCTCTTCTTTATTTTTTGTTATTACTTTTAATGAAAGATCTTTTCTTTTTAAGTGTGTGTGCTAAAAGACATAATCCCAAAGAGATGAAGCAATTCACAGAGAAGAGAGAAATGGCCAAAGAAGCAGTTTGGGTGAAGGTTAGAAGAAATGGGGTACAGAGCACAGTGCAGGAATTAAACACTGACAGACAAGATACGTCCTTCACAGAGAAAAATTAAATTACATAAACATTAAAAAAAGACAGAGAAAAGGGCTGCACATGTACCTAAATTTGTGGGTTTGGTCATGTGAAGATAAGGGTAATTGGCTCAGATTTCAAGAGCTTAGAGTGAGGCTGAGGCAGGCAGGCATAATGTTTCAAGAGAAAGGATTAGGTTTGAAAAGTTGTCTGTGAAGTGGAGCATACAAAGACTTCCAGGCAGTATGGAGTGGTCATCTAAGGTCTGAGATCACAAATTCAAGCTAAAGCTTAGAAGTACAGCTGCATAATTTTTTTTCAAGTTTGTACTCTGTACAGTTTAATTCCATACCAAATGGTTCCCATCTACTATACTTTAAGTTCTGGTCTCAATTATTTCTTTTCCTTTCCTATTAGTTGGTATGTCTACCACAGCAAAATAATTTGCAATATGCTTGTAACGGCTGCACTATGCCTTTCTAATAGGGGTTGGCAGACAGATATAAAAGCTGTTACTTAAGATTTTACGTAGCAGTTAATAATGGTTACAAAAATACAGTTAGAGAAAAAAATGCTTTATGTTAATATGTTAAGCAAAAGAAACATGATGTAAAATTACACATATAATATAATCACAACCATGAAGGTAAAATATTAAAAGATTAGAAGGAAATATAACAAAATTTACATAGTAATTATCTTTAGATGATGGAAATATAGTCCATTAACTCTTCTTCTTCCTTTTTATCAATTTAACACATATTCTACATCAGACATGTATTGTTTGGGGGTTAAAAAAAAGTTTTTTAAAAATAAAAATTAAGTGCACACTTCAGCAGCACATATACTAAAATTGGGAGGATACAGAGAAGGTTAGCATGGGCCCTGAATAAGGATAACACACCAATTCATGAAGTATGTTTCATATCTTTTTAAAAAGTCTTAATGTGATCTCATTAAAAAAAAAACTGAACCTCTAGTATTTTAGCTAAGAGTGTATTTTATGACAGTTCAGTGGCTTTTCTCTTACTACATTCAGATTGTCAGCAGGGTCTCAGGTAATATTACATACCACAAAATTATTAAATAACTTTTAAATTATTTTCTTGTGTAAACCTCCTATATAAAATGACTACAACCTTTTTTACTAAAGCAGTTCAATGGCACTATAAAAAATATGTAATAGAAAATATAGAATGCTTTGGCTCAGAATCTTTGAAAACTTTAAGCAACAATGTCATTTAAAGCAAATCACTTCAAATTCTTCATAAGTGAAAATTTCAGAAATTTAAAATGGGAAGCTGAACATGCTCAAATACAGAAACACAATACTCAGAACAAGATAAAAAGCTTTAATACATAAATAATCACATAAAACTCTATTTCAGGGTACACAACATAGGTCACTACAGGTGGCTTTAGTCCTCATTCTAAATCTCCATAATTTGAACAAGTGGAAAAAAAAACCCTTAGGAAACATTTCAGTATAAGTAGCTAAAATATTATTTGTAATACAAATACAGTCTCCTGTTAATAACTAGAAATTTTAATAGAACATCATGACTCTCTGGAACTGGAAATTAAGAGCTAATGCAAGGAGAGCAAGGACTCAGGCATTCCACAGGTAGGGTATAGCAGCTGAAGGTTTAAACCTTTCCCTTAGGTCACAGGTCCCACCTACTGTGCATTTGAATAGTAGGTTTCTCTCACCAAAGGGAACTTGCAGATTCGTGAATCAGGCAACATGCAAAATAGAACAGGCAAAAAATAGAGCAATTGAATATGAAGGCATTGTCACACCTTCTTTACCCAATACTGGAATAGACAAAAACCAGAATAAATTATTAGACCATGACATTTTTGATAAGGGAATATGAAGGGAAGGAGTCGACCAAAGTGGGAGTCTAGGGAGGCAGGGGGGTAGAGAAAAATGCATAAGGTCTGAGCTAAACAATCAGGAAAATAGAGAGCAGGTTCATCAAAGAAGCTACTAAGGAGAAAAAGCAAAACCCTACTCCTCATGCAAAACCCACTATTCAAATGTACAAAGAATGTAACCTATCACTTACCTCTCCATGAAAAGAGGGGCCAAGCAAACTTCAAAACAAAAAGGAACTTTAATTACAATAGAAACAAGAATACTTTGGCTACAAATCAGTGGTATGCTGAACTCATAAACAGCTAACATCATTAGGCAATTTGAGCAACTGTTAAACCAAGTGTTCCTTATGTTAGTGAAAGCAGTTCACACTAAAAGTACATGAACACTAACTTCGCAAGAGTTCTCTTCCTTTTAGGGAGGGAGGGATAAATAGGGCAATCTGAGAAAACTAGGCTCCTTCACATTGAGTTTTTCAAGGTCACAGCTGAGATTTTCACATTCACACATTATGGGAAAAATAAATCTTAAGTTCTTGTTAAAGCAGGAATCCCTTCAACAATATCTAATAGTCATATAAAATGGCATGAAAAAAGAACAATATTTTAGTAGAAAAGTATTGTCCTATTTTAAAAACTTAGAATATAAAATATTTATAATTTAGTAATATAGAATAAAGTTAATCTCAAATGATGAGAGGTATAATTTGAATACATGATATTTCTTAGACTCTACTTCACACCTGGCATGTTTTTGGTAATCAAAATCAATGCTGATGGGCCTGTTAATTTAGTTTAGGACTAAAAGTGGCTATGTAGCCATAGAAAAGCCATAAAAATACAGTAAGGGATACCATACAGTACTTATAGCCTGAAGGATATCTTCTAAAAGGCCAAGTACAGCTAGAAAAACAGGTAGAAAAAAGAAAATCTTAATTACTCTGGAAACTGCCAATATCAGTCACAGTGGTTGTAGAAAAGTCTACCCTCACCAAGTTCAAATCCCTTTTCAAGCATATCAGTTCCTGGACAAGGTCTCGAGTTGGATGAGCCCCCAAATCAAATAAACAGTAGACTGTGTTAGACATCTAAGATAAGAGGCCTGGATATGTTTAACTTTTTATTATGTGAACATGATTAAAGTTAAAACTTCGTTTTCTTGTTTGTAAAAATGGAGACAATATTACTCACAATAGAGAAGGACTAAACACTATCAATCCTGCTTTCTAGGTAAAATTGAAAACTCCATTCCCCAGCCTCTTTTAACTTTGGCCTAAACTAGTCACAGAACCCTATAAGCCTATGTAATGTGGGTAGAAATAATAATACATCTTCTTCTAAGCTTGGCTCCTACAATCTCCAGAAAGATCCACAGCCCCCCTACCTCTCTTGATATGCCAACTAGCACAGCATCTAACAGAGGACTTGAAGACAGCGAGAGAAAGAGTGGTGCCACAAGACAGTTTATAATCCCTAAGTCACCACTTGAAGTACAGCTGAATCCTTAAAATGCCATTTTGTGAAGGGTCTGCCTGGAGCGCTGCCCTACCGCTCTCTGGCTCCCCCATTTGACCCTTACTCCTACCTGAGAAAACTGAATGAGAAACTTTTATTCAATCCACACACTGAGATTTCTGAGGTCATAACATACCCCAAATACATCTCCATTCCTACTTAGCTCAGAGTGTACAGATCCAAATGAGACAGCAGAAATAAATACTTTACCAGGAAAAAGTTTTATAACCTTATACAGGTAATATTAATGGAATTAAACCAAACTGAAGACTATGCAGTCTTTAAAAAAAAAAAACTACAGATCTACAACAGTAACTTAATATATGTTATTTATCAAAAACCAGAAAACTAATTATTTTTTCATATTAAAAATCACCAGGCTTCTAATTTACAAGCAAAATTTGCTTATTCTTTCACAGGAGTTACTTCGTTAGGAAAAGGGCAGGTACTCATTAAACCAACAAAATAAAGAACCAGGTGCCACTTCAAATGCTCCATTCCAAAAGGGAAAGAGGTTGATGAGATATGGACCAAAATTAAATTACAAAATACAAAAAGAGAAGCCGTGTTAAAGAAAAATACAAATATTTATTTACAATGTAAAGATATTATATTATTACAATAAATATTAAAATGCTGTATACAGAAGCCAAAAAGAAGTTTGTTCTGTCATATGATTAATCTATGTGGTTAATACACACATACATTAATATACATGTATTCACTTAAATAGTTCTATTAAATAGTTCTATTCAATATAGTCACTCCCAAGCCATCCTGCACTATTCATAATTTAAAAATTCCCCACAACCCCCACACCTTAAAGTCCTTCAAGCATTTTATAGGTGATAAAGAATTCCCTCAGATCCTCCTTTCTTCAACTCAGTAGCATGACATGGTTTAAAATACAAACTGTTATTTCTAATCAATAAGTGTTTACATAAGCAATTAATAAGGGATTTTAGATTTTCTCAATATTAAAAGTTTCATATATCACAAAAGGTTTGTAAACAATAATTATTCCAAAAGGGTAAAATCAATTATCTTATTCAATGGAGTTAGGAAACAACATTTAGCAATTTGGCTTCATGACCTAAAAATTTTAGGATTAACATTATAGAAAGGTGGATGATATTAAAAACACAAAACAAAACATGGGACTGTAACTACAGCAAAAGAGTAACTATTACTAGAAAATTCTGATGGGTACACTTAGAACCTGATTTGGAATTCAAGACAGCATTAATTAAACACTAAGTTTGATCTGTTTGCAAAAGCAAATCAAGACTATTTTAAAAAATCAACTTCATGATCATTTTTAAAGGTTGAACTCCCTCTCAAATTAGGGGTATATGTAGTTATGACATGTACTTGTCAAAAAGTGAAAATTTTGAAAATACATAATTCTAATATTAACAGAGAGAAGACAATCAGATTTATAATCTTTTAGTTTTTACCTGTGAATGTTTTATGGAAGCAAGTGAAAAAATCAAGTTATGGAAAGACATGGAAATTACCTAAAGACTTAAATGGGACAACCCTGCCAAAAACCTTCACAGCCAAGAGATCTACAAGTCTCACTAGAGACACCTCACCAACAGAATCTAGAAATGTTCAATTCTCAGTAGAAAATAAGCTACCTTAATATATTTTATCTAGTTTTTTAATTCAGATTCCATTTACTTAGAATTAATAATAATTTGCTGAGCTAATGTTTACTCTTTCATGACCTATATAGCAAAGGGTTTTCTTAAACAAAATCAGTAAACAAGATTATCTAGGGTATAACCCTACATAGTTAAAAACTGGTAATGGATGATTTTTTTTTAACTTATAAAGAGCTGATAGGTGCATGCAAATTAGTCATTTATTTTGCTAATACAATATACATTTCAAATAGCTGTTCTCTCACACTTTCCACATATTTATCAGTGTCAAAAATTTTAAGCAGTTTAAATATTTTCCTATAGTTAAACACTGATATGGAAAAAATATAAGCACATTGGCAAAAAATATAAATAATTAAAACTACAAATAAATTCTATTGAGGAAACTTAAGCTTTGTGACTAGCATGGCCCTAAAATAAAGGCTACCATTTATTTTGCTATATATGAAATCATTACAAATATAAGAGTTATCCATTGCTTTCTAACTTCAAAAGGTCTAAACAAAAGACATAGAAATCAATAAAAGAATTTGGTTATTTATTGGAGATGAGTAATTGGAATAAAACAATAGTCGGGTTATCAAATCTATAACTTACCTTTCATAATTACACAGGATTTTGGCATATAATTCTGTGTGCAGAGTTTTCCTGCCTTTGCCTCACTTTATCTCCTATATTTAACTTCTTTACTTGTCAATTTATTGTGTTACTGTACACACTTCAGCAAGGCAACTTAGCCGCTTTGTGAAGCAGTAGTAGTAGTACACTTACAGTTCAGTAGACAAAAATTAAGATCCTTCAAGGTAACTTCACCCCCTCTTTGATAAGGTTTAAAATTATTTGCAGTAAAGTAAAAGAACACTATTCATTGTAAACTCTCCACTGAGTAACTAATAATAACTAGGTCATGTGAGTCATTTTTTCAACAGTTGTGAAAATAGCTAAGCATGCAAGTCACAGTCTAATCCTTTTGTTGACCAACTTTTTAAAAAAGTAACCATAAAAGTCATGCATTATTTTCAGTGGCCATGGACAAAAGGCGACAAGGAAGGGGAAGGGGGCCTGAACTTTTAACCATAACTTGATTACCTTTGTGTTAAACAGACAAACCATAACACTGCAATAAGGAAGTTAAATATTCTCCTAACTTAACTATCATATTTTTAGAAAATATTAATTAGCACTTCACTAGGAAGTTAATCAGCCTGGTAAACTCAGTGGTGATTTGTAAATGCCAGTCACAATCAACCTACACTTGACTTACCTGCCATTACAGAGTAGCCATCGTGCAAGAGAATAGTGAGGTATAATCTTCTGCATGATACTGGCCATCACCATGGTAACGACCAGCTGTATACCTATTACACCCTGTGTAAAAAAAACAAGTTTAACAAGAAATGAACTTAGATTTGAGGACACTGCTAGGAACTTTCTATATATTTTGAAAATGAAATTTTACAAAAAAGGAGTTATTATTAAACTATTATTGCCATTTAGGTATTCAGGACCACTTATGTTTAAACTTAAATATGCAATCTCATCTTATAATCCTCTACAAGTTACCCAAGAGTCACATCTATATGAACAAAAGTTAAATGAACTAGCACACACATTCAAAAATCTATTCCCAAGAAATGTTATCTATTATACAAGGGTATCAAAATGAAGTGAAAATTAGTGATTTTTTTATCCTTCTCCAAATTTAATCTGTTCAACACACATAAAATACTAGCTTGGCAAGCATTAAAAGCAATTATGTGTTTTTTAATTCTGGGGTGGTAGTGAATGATTAGAGTATTAATTAGAGTGTGATATGGCAGAATTGGCCTGAAAACCACTTTCTAGAAAGTTTAATTCTTGCTGCCATCACCAACTTCCAGTGGGTGGACCTTCAACAATGTCCAAAATCCCCTTAGTAATGTCCTCATCAATCCATCTTCTGTTCTCCATGAGAGCTAAAATTCAAACATTCTCCTTTCTTCACACCTCCAACCTCCCTCAAACTTGTAACTCTCCACTCAGTAGAGGACAGCTATTTCACAGAGAAAATACACACCGTCAAAATATGAACTCTTAGCTTCCACCAAGCTCACAACCACTTGTATACACTACACTAGTCTTTTCCCACACCCTCTAGAAATAGAGCAGTTCTACAGTAAGTCCCTACTCCAGTGACTCAGAGCCCATCCTCGCACTGATTTTCAGAAAATTAACCACTGAAGAGTTTCCTTCCTATATCATATTTAATCTTTTATCCATCCTTCCTATCAGCATTGCAACACCTCTAATATTTTTCTAAAAACAAAAACAGCACACACAATAATAACCCCTTACTCTACAGCCCTCCTCGCTCCTACTCTGAGTCACTTTTGAAGATGTATTCTGACTTCTATTTTCTCATAACCCCAACACAGTTCTGATCTGACTTCTGCTTCAGCCTATTCCACTGAAACAACCACCATCAAAATCACTCCATCTTGCCTAATTCCATTTCCTTATCTTACATCTCAGCAGTTTTCCACAAGGTCTACCACAGCCACTGCTTTACTCCCCGCTGGATGGGCAATTCTTTACGCTCCTCTGGGGGCTCCTCCATCCCAGCAGTTGGAAAATAAGGTTGAATTCCAACCTCAAACCTCATTTACCAAACAAGTACCTAAAAAATACAAAATGTTTAAAACATACAGCATACTGATATAAGAGCCTAAATTCTGAACTCCAACTACCTGGTATAGAATCCGCCATCCACTAGTTGTGACTTTGAACAGGTAATTTAAACATTTTGATTCTTGTAAGTGCCCTGATGGGGGACTGAACCTGCAACTCTGGCATGTAGAGATGACACCAACTGAACTACCTGGTCCGGGTAATTCAAATGGAAGTCCAAAAATTTAAACATTTTGTACTTCCATTTCCTCTTCTACAAAATGAAGCTTTAAATTCAACTACCTTATCAAGTATGGTTAGGAATTGTGCCTGGTACAAAGTAAGAAGTCAATGGGTTAGTACTATTTGTTGTTATTGCCATGGTTATCACTATTTTTTATAGAAAAATATTTGTTTTCAATATAAAGAATAAAAGTCTTTTTAAAAAAGATTTTACTTATTTCTAGAGAGAGGGTAAGGGAAGGAGAAAGAGAGACAGAAACATCCATGTGTGGTTGCTTCTTGCACACCTTCCACTGGGGACCCAGCTCGCAACCCAGGCATGTGCACTGACTGGGAAGTAAACTAGCAACTCTTTGGTTCACAGGCTGGTGCTCAATCCACTGAGCTACACCAGCCAGGAAGAATAAAAGTCTTTCAAAAATATCAGTCTATGAGATAAGTTGAAAAAATCAAGTTTCACTGATTGTAACAAACTGATGTACTACTGTGGTGTAGGACATCCATATTGGGGAAGGTTTTGCATATGTAAGGAAAGGGATACATATATAAGAACTCCCTGTATCTTCCTATTCATTTTGCTGCAAGCCTAAACTGCTCTAAAAAATAAACTCTATTAATTAAAACAAATTTTTTCTACATAGAGAAAACAATATAAACAATGTCAAAGACCAACTGGGAAAAAGCATTTGTAACTCACATACCAAATGGATATTTTACTATTAGATATTACAGAGTTCTCATAAATTAATTAGCAAAAGACCAAATGCCTAATTAAAAAGGAACAAATATGTACAGGGAGTTGTCAAAAACAGAAACAAAAAACTATAAATGGCTCTGAAACCGGCTGTTTATAAAATGTCTTTGAAACCTAACTCAACTATGGTTTTACTGTAAATACTTTAATTCCTTAAGTTTCACCAATTGGGTCAAGGCTTAGACCACTTTTATATTCACCTGACATCAAAGGTTACATTTTCAATACTCTCTTCTTTCACATTTTCTATCATTCGAATTTACCATCCCCTTGCTTTATGCTATTACATTTACATATTTTTAATAGTATAGTGTGCTTATTTTTATTGAACTTACTGGGGTGGTATTGGTTAATAAATTATACAGGTTTTAGGTCTACAATTCCATAATACATCAACTACATATTGTATTATGTGTTCATCACCCCAAGTTAAGTTTCCATCACCATTTATCCCCTCTAAACCCTCTTCTATGACCACCTTTTCCCCTTCTCCTCTGGTAATCATCATGCTGTTGTCCATGTCTGTGAATTTTTTTGTTTGGTTTGGTTTTACTTAATCCCTTCACCTTTTTCACCCCGCACCACTATCGCCCCCTGGGATAGCTGTCTGTCTGTTCTATATCAATGAGTCTGTTTCCATTTTGTTAGTTATTTTTATTCATTAGATTCCACAAAAGTGAAATCATATGGTCCTTGTCTTTCTCTGTCTTATTTCACTTAGCATAATGCCCTCCAAGTCTATCCAAGCTGTTGCAAAGGATAAGACTCCCATCTTTTTTATGGCAGGGTAGTATTCCATTGTGTGAATGTACCACTGCATTTTTAACCACTCTTCTATTGATGGACACTTGTGTTGCTTCCAAATCCTGGCTACTGTTAATAACACTGCAATGTACATAGGGGTGCATATATTATATCTTCAGATTTCTTCAGATATACTCCCAGAAGCAGAACTGCTGGCTTGTAATATAGATCCATTGTTAATTCTTTGAGGTAACTCCATACTGCTTTCCACAGTGGCTGTACTAATCTTCACTCCCACCAATAGTGCACAAGGTTTCCATTTTCTTTTAATGTTTCTTGATATGTTGACAATAGCCATTCTGACTGGTGGGAACTGATATCTCATTGCGGTTTTAATTTGCATTTCTCTGATGACAGGTGATGTTGAGTGTCTTTTCATGTGTGTACTGGCCATCTGTATGTCATGTTTGGAGAGGTGTCTGTTCAGGTCCTCTGGCCAGTTTTTAATTGGATTGTCTCTTTGGTGTTGAGTTTTATAAGTTTTTTATAATTTTAGATATTAACCCCTTATCAAATTTATCACTGGCAGATATGTTCTCCCATTCAGTCATTCAGTAGGTCCCCTTTTCATTTTGTTAGTGGTTTCTTTTGCTGTGCAAAAACTTTTCGGTTTGATGTAATCCCATTTGTTTATTTTTGTTGTTGTTGTTTCCCTGTCTGAAGCAATAGATTAAAAAAATACTGCTACAAGAAATGTCTGAGATTTTACTGCCTATGTTTTCTTCTAGAATTTTTATGGTTTTGAGTCTAAAAATTAAGTCTTTAGTCCATTTTGAGATTATTTTTCTGAATGAAGGTGCATAAAAATAGGTGTAAGAAGGTGGTCTATTTCAAAAATAGGTGTAAGAAGGTGGTCTATTTCATTTTTCTGCACATATCTGTCCAATTTTCCCAACACCATTTACTGAACAGACTGTATTTACCCCATTGTATGTTTTTCTACATAGTTTGTAAAAGAAGTTCTGCAATCTCCATACAATAAATGCCATTACAAAATATATTAGAAAGTATGTCAGAGGCTGGCGTATTTGAGATTATTACAGACTTAAAAGTGAAAGATACTTTTTAGTTAGAAAAAGTTCTGTGGACAAAGTGAACCTCAGTTTGGCCTTGAAAGAAGTGACAGTATCACAGCATTTTTAAGGTCATCTAGTACAGTATCTCACAAACATACGTAACAATTTATTAGTCTTTAAACTCCTTTATAGCAAAATCCATATCCTAGTCTCATCTAATAAATATTACAGGCATTAAATGGCAGTTTAGAAAGACAAATCTGGAAGACTGATATGATAGAATACGATGAACTAAGGAAGAGGCATCTTGCTAAACTTCCCTTCTTCCTACCCCAAATCACGGGCATAATGAGATGGTGCTGACAGACCCACTATTGAACATGTAAACTATAGGAAGGCAAAACAAATAAAAATCTACAAACTGGATTGACTAGAATTAGGAATAGAAACTATGTTTATGCAATAATCCAGACCAGAAATGATACAGCTTTAAATTACAATGGTATCTCGGGAACCCAAAAGAAAAGAGTTATAAAGATACTGTTGCAAAATTCAAAGGGTAATCAAATATGGGGGCAAAGAAAGAATGAAAGAAACCAATGCTGAGAAACTAATGCAGATACATAATGCAGCTGGCACATCAGTGCTGTAGTTGATATTTGACTAAAAATGCTCAATCCAAAAGTATAACTTCAATCCATTCCTTCCCTATGCCATGTCCATGGTTTTAAATAAAGTTGTAATACTTTCTCAATATCTCATCCACAAACTGTGTAAGTATACAATAGGAGTCTTCGCCAAATTTCTAATAGAAGCTAATACATTTTTCCTAGAATGTATCTTCTGTTGGAAGACTCCCTATACATGTGCTACTCAAAGAAAATATGTCACCTTTATCCCAATAC